GAGGAGCCCGAGGAACTGCGCCGATTCTCCTCGCTTCAACGCCTGTTACGCGTGACAGCGTGGTGCCGCCGTTGGCTGCGGGGAAGGGGCGGCCCGGGGGTCGTACCAGACCGCACGACGTTCCCTTACGGTACCGAGCTGACGTCCGAGGAAATGGAGGAGGCTCGTCTTTCCTGGATCAGGCTTACGCAGGCGAACCACTTCTCCCGTGACTTAACCACGCTCCGTCAGGGCTGCTCGCGATCGTTGTCTAACTGCCTTGTAAAACTTAATCCTTTTTTAGACGCTCAAGGTCTCCTGCGCGTGGGCGGCAGGATAAAACACGCCGTCCTTCCTTACGATGAACGTCACCCGGTTGTCCTGCCGGGCGCCTCACACTTTACTCAGCTGATAGTAGAGGCTTGCCACCGAAGGACAATGCACGGAGGAGTCCAAATGACGTTGAGCATGAGTCGGCAGCGCTACTGGATCCCGCGAGGCCGAGCCCTGGTGAAACGTCTGATCCTCCGCTGCGTTACTTGCGCGCGTTGGCGGGCGGCAACTCCGCAGCAGCTAATGGGCAGTCTTCCCCGCGAGAGAGTAAGCCCTGCCAGGCCCTTTCTGCACACCGGCGTCGACTACGCCGGGCCAATTATGCTGAGGACTTCAAAAGGTCGAGGACAACGAGCCTACAAGGCCTTTATCTCGGTATTTGTTTGCCTCGTCACGCGTGCTGTGCATTTGGAGGTCGTGTCCGACTACACCGCGGTCGCCTTCCTGGCGGCGCTGCGCCGATTCACGTCCCGTCGCGGACTATGCAGCAGCCTCCACAGTGATTGCGGGACGAACTTCGTAGGAGCCGACAAACAGTTGCGCGCCCTCTTCACAGCCAGCAACCCTGAAGGACGACAGATTGCTGGCCATCTAGCCAGCGACGGAATCAAATGGCGATTCAACCCGCCATCCGCTCCTCACTTTGGTGGCCTCTGGGAGGCCGCAGTAAAATCGCTCAAGCACCACCTTCGGCGGGTGCTGGGCGAGACGACGCTGACTTACGAAGAGATAAGCACTCTCCTCGCTGAAATCGAAGCTTGTCTTAACTCTCGTCCATTGCAGGCATTTTCCGACGATCCCGACGACTTGGCCGTGCTCACTCCGGGGCACTTCTTGGTGGGGTCCGCCCTGATTGCCGTGCCTGAGCCTTCGCTGCTGGACGTGCCAGTGAACCGCCTCACCCGCTGGCAGCTGCTGCAGCAGATGCGGGATCACTTTTGGAAGCGTTGGTCCCAGGAGTACGTGCATTCGCTGGTACACCGCCCCAAGTGGCAGAACAAAGAACCCGACGTCCAGCTCGGACGCCTCTGCCTCCTGCGGAACGAGACCACCCCGCCGACTAGGTGGCCGTTGGCTCGAGTGGTCAAGGTCCATCCCGGAAAGGACGGCCGGGTGCGCGTGGTTACCGTCCGCTCCGCGACAGGCGAGCTTACGAGGCCGATCGTCAAGCTCGTCCTCCTGCCTGCGAGCGACGGGGATCCACCAGAGGAAGCATAAAGGGTGAGCACCTCTCGTACGAACGACTGCTGGGGATCGAGGCCCCCCAGCATCGCCTTTTTTTTTTTATCGCGAAATCCAATTTTGTTTCGGTACTTTCCGTATAAGAAATAATTGTACCACGAGATATTTTTTATACAATTTAGTAATGAGGAAGTTATGCGAATTTTTTTTTGTACTCAATTAAAATCCGACGATTGACAACCCATCCTAGTCGCGGCTGTAAATAAAATAAAATTGCGTTCTCTTGCGACTGCGGCTTCTTAAAGAAGCACTACTTATTCTCGAGCATATCCATCGCTCAAGCATATTTACTTCTCGGGATTTAATACCTTTAAGTTCTAAGAATGTTAAATCCTCGCACGCCGAATGTTGTGACCGCGAGGTAAATACCAGCGCGCGGGAGACCGGGTCAACGACCCGCTAGTACGGGATGCGCTCTTGCCGATGGACATTGAAGGTCGCACTCATTTCGTCAGCCGCTCTGACGAGGCGGGCGGTATGTTTAAGATTGCTTACGATAGTAAGCTTACGTTTAACGATAGCGAAGGCAAAAATATTAGAATTTCAGCACGGCAATTGCGAGCCACGAGACTTGAGCAATATCGCCGTGACTTTCGACGGGACGGTTAAATGAGTAAACAGTGGAGACAAGGCATTCTTTGTTCGCTTTGTTTCCTCTGTTTATAATTGTCGATCGCGCATCTCTCGGGGACTTCTCTCGGTGAAACGTGTATCGAAAAGTCTCGAATTTGAGAGAAGCCCCCGAGAGCTTAAAGAGACACGCGCTCTTGGCAACGAGGTCAGTCGCTCTCAACTTCCCGAGTTGCCGCTGTCAATATCGAGTGGCTTGCTCCTGTTCTTTCGCGTACGCTTAATAGATAGAGTTGCTCGCTCGTTCGCTCGCTTAATTCGCGCTGCCTGCATCGGCGCTTGCTTGCGCTTTCGCGACGCGATATCTACCATCGTTATAACTGCGATACAGTTTGTAAATAGTGTATATAGAAAATAAACTGTGCTTGTCCGTCAATTCTGCTCTTTGCCTGTCTCTTCCTACGCGGTTCGTGTCCTCGCTCGCGCGCTTGGTCCGCTTCCGAACAGAAGTCCTGTAAAGAAAAACGACGCTGAAAAATAAAGTCACGCTCCCCGCGATTGGCTGAATACCTTCGTACTCCGATTTAGCGCGGCGCGACTGCCGAATAGAGTCTCGGAGCAGGCAGAATACGTTGAATCGTCGGCTCACCCAGTCAGGCCCACCCATCGAGGAGCGGATCACCCTCTCCCCACCGCGTCTTTCCATAAGGGCAGGGAGTCCGAGTCCGCGATTTAAGTCCCAGACCCCGGCCCCCAAAGTATTTTAGTTTTAATTCGGAGTTTTTCTTCTCCTAGGCTGGTTTTTCTGGCCGCACGAGATCAAGCAGAGGAAGTCTCCACCCCCCGCGGGCCAAGCGAGAGGACATGGCACGACGCTCCTCCAATGACCGTCACGTCCGGCGGCAGGACGTAAACGTCCCGGAAACGTCCAGGCGGCCCGATGGGGCCACCTTCCTAGGGCAGGACGATTCAGCCGCCGGCGCCACCCTCCGTACAGCCGCCGCCGCCCATCCGATCTACACTGGCCAAATACCCGTAAGCAATCCACCATTGATAGACTATGGCTGCGGTCCACTTGACGCTACAAATGCTTCGAAGCATTTCTCTTTTCTTTTTTTTCAATAAAGAAAGAAGGAAAAGAAGAACGCTCCAAAGTATTTGTAGCGTCAAGTGGACCGCGACCTATGTTATCAACCAACGAGTGAGTTAAAAAAAAATATATATATTATATATATATATTCTGTGATCTTCTTAATAAATAGACTTTATAAATGCGCTTGTTCATCAGCTACCTGGTTTGGAGCATAGGAGGTTCCAGCAGCAGATGATTAGGATGATGCTGCGACAGCAGGAGCAGCAACAGCAGCAGATACTGATGTGGCTGTTGCGGTCGTCGATTCAGCCGCCGGCGCCACCCTCCGTACAGCCGCAGCCGCCCATCCCATCTACACTGGCCAACTCCTCGGCACAACTTGTACCTCCGTCGCGTAATTAGCCGGCATCGTTGGCGAGTAATTCTCGGAAAAGGAAAGCGCCATATTCCAAACGCTCATCACGATAAACGTCATAGTGTTGTATATAGTAAAGCTGGATATATAGTAAAGAGTGTAAGGCTGGGGCTACACTATGCGTCGTGAGTACGCATGGTATACAAATGCACGATTTGCGAAAACGCGCATAGTGTAGCCCCAGCATAAGCAGCGACGACGGCGGCGAGCGCCGCCTAAATGTAAATAGTGCGAAACGACTAGTACGTAACGTTCGCGAAATTACGAGAGCGTTAGATAATTTATCTTGAGAAATTCGCGCTCGCGCAGATGAAAATCGAACTCTGACAACGCGCGTTTCATCAAGTCGAGCGATTGAGCTTGACACGCCTGAGAGCTGAACTCCTTTAAGGCCGCAGACTAGTTTCTGATTACGCGATCCTCAATGATGCGAACGAGACGCTCGGTTTGCGCGCGCGCGCCATGTATCTTCTCTTTCGATTTTCTATAGATTATGCGATACGTCAAAAGACAGATTAAAGATTAACGCGACGTTTGGTGTTTTTCAATTCTACTCGGTCTAGCTCAAATGGACTCAAAATTGTTTTCGTCCTTGGTCGAGAGAGAAATTTGCAAATCGGTAGGATGAGGAACGAAAAACTAAAGCAAAACTATCGAGAGACTATTATTACGTATTCTCCCCTCGTATCTTCCAGAGCCCCCTCTTTTTCGCTGCTACTCGTGCAGGGAGTGAATGAAATCGTTCTTTATCTTTATCTTTAATTCATATATTATACATACATACATATATACATATATACATATATGTATGTTGTGTATACTTAACGTTAATTAATAATTAATAGTTCAGATACTATTTGGTGATTACCGCTACTATTATTAACGTAACGAAAAATACAAAGTATATGATAAAGACTTGTATGAAAGATAAACGATAACACATAGATAGGGAGAATCCATTAGAGTTCATGGTTCAAAAATATCATGATATTTATATAAATATCAAAATATCCGATATATATCGGGTATTGGATATATATCCAAATGGGTCGAAAATATCATATTTATATAAATATCAAAATATCTAATGTCGACATAATCCGCTTGCATTAACAATCCTCTTTTCTTATCGTCATATGACGCCGATGGTTTATGGTAAAATCTAATTCCCTGAATATTTGTATGTTTTGCGTGTGAATTGCAAAAGAAATTGAAATCGACTACTAATTAGCGAAATTGTTCAAATAGCGCTATCCGATGCTCCTATTAACCCCGCGTCAGCGGGGTTAATTGCCAATGGAACAGAGAATCGGAAAGCTAGGGAAATTGATAGAATACATCTGTGTCTGCCTGAAATTTCAATGAGTATTCATCGAAGTTTTATTATGATAAGATAAAATCTTTTTTATTCCATCGAAGCGTTACTTCAAATTGCCGATTAAAAGTTTGCCGACATCGCTTTACAGACGCCATGCTCCATTTAGCGTGGCGGCCGGTGCAGAACAAATGTTCCTTTTTTTCATTTTTATTGTTGTAGCGAAATATTGGAGATTAAATTTTAAAATATGAGATATTTAAACAGTATAAATTTATCAATAAAAGTACTAGAAGATAATACAAATCTGTTAAGAAATTTCATTAAAATTTAGAAAAGGATACACGTATATTTAAATTACGCTCGTAACAAATTCTCACTGTTAAATTGAAGCAATTATTGTTCTTTTCCATGTTAGCAATTATTTTTCTTTTCCAATTATTTTATTTTCGTTCTTGGCGTATTCAATACGTCATAACATAATGATCAATAATTGATCGATAACAATGTATTTTCAAAAACAAAGCGTTGTCAGAAAAAAATACATGGAAAAGAGGAGTAAAATCTGAAAATATGATATGGATGTAGATATAAGTTTCTATAACGGTATATTCAGCGAACTTTTTGCATTGTTTACGGTGTCGATTACGGCATTTGCGTCGACGCGTTGACATGTGTGTGACGCACGAAAATATCGAATTCCAATGCCCACACGTGAATAAAATTCGGTATTGTACGCTATCCCATCCTTTCTTTCGTATCATGTTCCCGAGTTTCAAAAATGCGTGCAACACTATATGTTTGTGTGCTTTAATAACATTTTTATGTAATTAAACTTTCCTCTAAAAAAAAATTGTCTAGATAAAAAAGGTAATCACTACGTCAATCAAAACTCTGTCTTCTCATAATATAACGTAATAAGATACCTATGTCATATTAGCTCTATGTATTTTCATATAACATCTGATAATACATCTACAATTATATTTAGCCACTATACAAACATATATTAATCACATATATTAATTAAACATATATTAATCTTACCAAAGTTTGCACCCCTTTTGTTTAAAGTGAAAATATTTGTCAAGCGAAAGAGAGCATAAAGACGAAGCCCCACGGGCAGTAAAATAGAGAGAGGGCAAATATGTCTCGCGATGCGACGCGAAGTCCCAATGGAAGCATATGCCGGAATTGGCGGAGATAAAATCGAATACGTATTCGTGGGCCAGCTTGGCGACGATGCCTATAAAAGTACCATAGTGGAGGGCCACCACCATAAAACGCCCCGCACTGACATTTATTGCCACTCTCTTCGCAGTGGCACGCGGCGGCGGCGGCGTAAAAGATGCTCACAATTTCGAGGCAGCCGGCTACTACTGTTGCCACTGAGAAAAATGTAGTTTCGCATTAAAAGTGAGAAGTTCAAGCCCGTAATGCCCGCAACTTTTCAGTTTCTGTCGTGTAATGCATCGGATAAGAAGCGGGAACTTTGATGTTACTCTTCGGAGCCGACATTTTCACGAGATTTTGCGACATTGTCCGCGATGTGACGGACGTTACACCTTCTGCGCTAGTTTAAT